GGCTTGAGGGACAGTCTCGATCCCAGGTACTTGCCTGAATAACTAGGACCAAAACTGAGAAGTGAATCAAGGGTCTCTGTCGGATACTACTATCACTGGAACTCAATGTAACATGATTATCTCTCGGATATAAATTCTTGCTACTTGTTTAAGGGGTCGGCCATTTTGAGGACCAAGAAATGAGAGGACTTGGTGAGCCGGTCAATAATTACTCAAATGACATCATATCTCGAGCGTGCCTTAGATAACCATGTTACAAAATTCATGGGGATATGTTCTCATTTCCACTCCAGGATGGTAATGGCTGAAGTAGTCCACCTGGACGTTGATGTTCTGCTTTAACCCGTTGACATACAAGACAGTTCAAAACAAAATCAATAATTTCTTTTTTCATTCCACTCTACCAAAACCGAGGTCGCATACTTTGATATATCTTAATACTTTTGGGATGCATAGTGAACTTTAAGGTATGAGACTCTATCATAATATCACTTTTTAGTTCACTGTCATCTAGGACACATACCATATTCTAGAACCTAAGCAACCTATTGGCAGAGACTCGAAATTCTGAATTGACTCCATATTCTGTATCCTTCCTAAGAGCTATTACGGAGAAATCAGTCAATTGAACTTTCTCTATCTTTAAATCAGTTCATATTGGACAGTTAGATGGGTCAGACATGTAAATCTCTTCAAATCCTGAAGTTGATCTGTTGCGCAACCCCTATTTTTCTATATTCAGAAACAATTAAGTAGACCAACATATCTGCATTTTTTCTGCTGAGTGCGTCCGCTACCACACTGCCCTTGCCCGAGTAATACAAAATCTTACAATCGTAGTCCTTGAGAAACTTTATCAAATACCTCTGATGCATGTTGAGATTCTTTTGGGTGAATGTATACTTCAAACTCTTATGATCTGTATAAATATCAAAAGTCTCTCGATAAAAATAGTGGCGCAAGGTCTTTAAGGTGTGGATAATGATGGAAAATTTTAAGTTGTTAGTAGGGTAATTCTTTTCATGACCTTTCAACTGTCGGGATCTATAGACTATGATATTTTCATCCTGCATAAGAACACAGTCCAACCTAGATAGGAAACATAATTGAACATTATGTATCTACCTGTTCCACTCAGCAGAGTCAAAATTGGTGCGGTAGTCAACCGCTTCATGATTTCTGTAAAGCTCTTTTCGCAGTTCTCATTCTACTCAAACTTGACATTCTTCTTTGTAAGTTGGGTCAAGGGAGCAGTTAGGATAGAAATTCCTTCCACAAACCTACAATAATAACCTGTCATTCCCAAAAATTTACGAATGTCCTTAACCGAAATCAAATTCTTTCAACTGAGTACTGCCTTAACCTTCTTAGAATTTACTGATACCCCATCCTTAGATTTTATGTGCCTTAAGAAGGTAGTTTGCTCGAGTTATAGCCCACACTTGTTCATATTTGCATATATTTTTTTTTCCTAAGAATATTTAAAACCTGAGTCAGGTACTGAGCATATTCCTTTTTGCCTTTCGAATATACCAGGATATCATCGATAAACACTATGACGAACTGATCCATGAACTGCCCGAAAACCCTATTCATCAAGTCCATAAAAATTATTGGCGCATTGGTTAGCTCAAATGGCATGACCAAGAACTCATAATGTCTATACCTGGTTCTGAAGGCTGTCTTAGAAATGTCCTCTACCCTAAT